GATTTGGTGGTATACTAGCTAGTACTTGGATATGTTAGGCGGACCATCGTTATTATTATGGATCTACATGGTCCGTCGACTCTAGGTCTGACACGCAAGCTAGCTGTTGGCGTATGCATGGGAGAGCCAAACTGGGTGTATAGCGGCCACCACACAATGCCGGACCCAGGCCAACGTCAGGGGGACGGGCATGGTTTGTATTTATACTATGATATGACGAAAATGCCCCTGACGGTTCCGGAGGTTGACTCGGGCCAAGGTCACTTCGGATATGTTTTGATGGCATGCCTTGGTTTTAGATCGAGAACTGGATTTAGATACATGGTTTTGTTATCATCGATTGTTTTTATTAAAATGGTTTTATAAGTTGATTTGGTCGTGAGTGCACCCCACCCTCTTCTGGTTCTCTTTTGAGGGTGGCTCACTCACTGGGTACATATTTTTGTACTCACCTCGATTTCCTTGTCGCTATTTCAGGATCTTAGCGTTGAGCTTTCCTTTCATGTTGAGTCGGTGGCTTAGGGAGTCTGCTTCTCCGTTGAGGTATCTCTCACTACGCATGGGTTCTACTGGCAGTCGTCATCTACTTTATGTCTTTTTTTTTCCTGAGGATTTTTGCCTGGATGGCACTTTTTTATGTATTGCTTCCGCTATTCTGATACATCTATTATTGAGATGTTTTGCTATTCCGTTGGATTTGAGCCCGAGGCTCTTTTATTGATGTTTGTTTAGACTTGAGCTCGAGGCTCAGGGGTTGATGATTGCTCGGATTTGAGCCTGAGGCTCTTTTCGTTGTTCCTGGTTTTGTTTTGTTTTTGTGCCTTGATATTGACGCTTCGCGGAACCTCGTGTGCGTGTGACGCGCGACACGTATTACGAGGTAACGCGGCGGTTGTCCGTGCTCGACATCGAGTCGGGGCGTGACAATTTTGTTGGTATCAGAGCCCGTTGATTTTTACTGATCTTTTCTGCAAAAGTATAAGTCCAGTGGAACCGTAGTGAGTCTAGGAAATTCTTTTTGAGTCACTTTTTATCCTTTTTGTGATTTCATCATCTAAATGATATGATCTTTGGTAGTGAAACATGCCACCAAGAAAAAGTTTCACCGCGGCCGTGGGCGAGGGCGTCCCCCGTTGCAAAGGGTTCCTCTTAGGCAGTATGAGGAAGAATCTTCTGTGTATTCTACCCCCAGTGGGGATAGTGGGGGCAATGATGACTTACCATCACCACCGCAAGGGCAATAGGTGCCACCTTCACCTTGTTCCCCTTATGATGCATTTATGGATTGGCGTCAGAGATATGGGGGCCAAGTTCCACCATTCGGGGCCCAAGTTCCACCTTATGGGGCCGCCCAACCTTCAGCTGGCTTTGGGTACCAGTTTCCTCCTCCCCCAACTGAATTTACTTCTGGTGCTGGTTTCGGTGGTCCTACTCCACTTTCTAAAATTTTTTAAAGAAGTGAGAAATTTGGGGGTTGACACTTTTGTGGGTACAAAAGATTCTATTAAAGCTAAGGATTGGTTGGATTCAGTCATTACTGCTTTTGAGGATATGAATCTTGTGGAGCCTCAACGAGTGAAAATAGCATCGAGATTGCTAGTTGAAGAAGCAAAGACCTGGTGGGTCAGTGTAAGATCGTACACAGGGGGGAGTAACCTGGGAGAGGTTCGTATCAGAATTTCATAAAGAATATAACTCCAGATTTGAAAAGACTCGTATCTCGAGTGAATTCATGGAACTAAAGTAAGGCGATATGTCAGTCAGTAAATTTGATAGTAAGCTAAGGAGGTTGGCCAGAAATATGCCTACAGGTTGTATGACTGAGCAGTTGTTGTGTACCCGATTGCTAGCGGGTTGAATGTTGAGCTGCAGTCTTCTATAGCTTCGCTGATTACAGATGAATCGAGGACTGTGGCATACAGTCATTTAGTTGATACGGCAAAGCAAGTAGAGTTAGTGGCAGAGACAGCTCGAAAGACAAAACATAAATATGGGGTTTTCAGTAGACTTTTTAAGGGAAAAGGCAAGAGGCATGATACAGACTCTTCGTTTGAGCCATCATTGAAAAAGAGCCGCAATTCAGACTCCTCTGGTGGAGCGTCGCTTGGTAGCTCTGTCGGTTCCCCACAGACCTGTCGATTTAGCAAGTCCGCTAAGGGGACTAGCTACAATAATCAATCTACAAAGAAAATAAATGTTTGTAAAAATTGCTGCAACGGTCATGATGGACCTTGCCCATTCCCTACCAGGTGTTTTCAATGTGGTAGTCAGGATCACCTTCGTAAGGATTGCCCGTGTGTTCAGGGCACTCAGAGCCAAGCTAGTCAGGGTGGCCGAATCTTTAATACCCGTTAATGTACTATTGTTGCCCACATAGCCTCCAATAGAGGAATTTCTGGATCGGGGCCCAACACTCGGGGCAGAGTTCAGACCCGACTCTACACTATGACACGTGAAGCTGCACAGGACAACCTGAACTCCATCACGGGTACTGTTGTACCATTCCGGAATTATGCGAGAGCTTTGATTGATACTGGGTCAGAGCACTCGTACGTAAGCTATGGGTTCACTCACTATGCCAATGTACCATTGTCTCCGCTAATCCCACAATTAATTGTTCAAACGCCATTCTTGGAGAGCTTACTAAAGACGGATGTGTTTAAAGATTGTGATTTGATAGTGGGTAATGTGGTGTTTGAAGCAGATCTCATTCCATTGGAAATTTATGATTTTGATGTGATTTTGGGAATGGATTGGTTGAGCAGGCATGGTGCCTAAATTGATTGCCAAACCAAGACCTTGATGTTAAAGAAACCTGACTACCCGGTGATTGAATTTCAAGGTGAGTTAAATGTTCTGAAGACTCGCCTCATTTCGGCTGCCAAGGCTAGGAATTAATAAGTAAAGGGTGTTTGACTTTTCTAGCCCATGTTAAAGATTTGTCACTCCCTAGTGAAGATTGCAATAACATTCCAGTGGTGAATGAATTCTTTGATGTGTTTCCGGAAGAGTGGCCGGGTATGCCTCCAGATAGGGAGTTTGACTTTGTGATTGATGTTGTGCCTGGCACGAACCCAATTTCTATTCCGCCATATAAAATGGCACCTGCTGAGTTGAGGGAATTTAAGATTCAGTTGCAAGAACTGTTGGATAAGGGCTTTATTAGACCGAGTACCTCCCCTTGGGGTGCACCGGTCTTGTTTGTTAAGAAAAAGGATGGGAGCTTGCGCTTATGTGTCGATTATCGGCAGTTGAACCGGGTGACTTGATCGAGCTCAAATTATACATATTTTTATGGCTATTTTTCTATACTTTTTACCACTTTTATATGCATTTTTACCTTATTTTCTAAGTATTTGTGTTTTTAGTCTTTATGAGATGTGAAATTGAGAATTTGCTTATTTTCATTACTTTTGGAGCTATTTTGATGACTTTTTACACAGATATTAGCAAAGTAATTTTGAGTATAGATTTGGAGATGCAAAGTTCGTGTTTGAAGATTTCTTGAAGATAATTTGAAGATTTGAAGATCAATGAAGAATTATTTCAAGGAGCAAGAATTGGAGATTGGAACTTAAATTGCAAAGGATTGAAGTCAAGCCCAGAAGAAGCCCTGAAGTTGAGGATTTTTGAATTATTTATATGGGAATATACTCAGCCCATATAAACATATAATTGGAGTTAAAATCCCAATTTGTAGGCCTTATATCCAAAAGAATATCCAAATCCCGCAACAATCCCGCAGATTTGCGATATAAGCCCGTTTTCAGCGTAGTCTCGGTAGAAAGGCCATAACTTTCTGCTCAGATGTCCGTTTTAAGCCCATGAGTAGCCGTTGGAAAGCTAACTCCGAGCTCTACAATTTTTCTTTGAAGTCCGAAACCCAATTCGGCTGTTTTCAAGCCCGAATCTGCCTGTGAAGTTTCTGCAGAAATCCAGAAAATTCCAGAATCCTATTCTAACTTGGATTCTACTCTAGGGTGACACCTAATCCAACTTGGAGTCTAAGTCAGCCCTAAACTGCCCTATCTATGTTCATCCACTATAAATAGCCACCTGAGGACTAGATTTTGTGTGTAATTTTATTCTTCATAAGATATATTGTTTAGTTGAAGATTTGGAGGAGAAAAACCCTAGGAGTCGCCGCCCCCTTCTCTTCCTCATCCATAGATAAGTTCTTTTCTTCTTATTTGTGGATGCTCACTCAATTTATGAGTGAGTAATCCTTTTCTTTTCTCCAATGTAGAATTTAATTGATCTCTTGACTAATTCCATGGTGAGATTTTGTGCTTTTATATGAGCATTTATTTGAGTATTTCTTGGATCTCTGTATGAATTCTATGTTGCTTGTTTTGATTGACTGGGTCGACACTTTCATGATAAATTGAGTTAGCATTAGCTAGATTAAGTTGTGAATTAATCACTCCAGCTTAATTTTATGTAGCAATTGGATGTGAATTAATCCTCCGTCCAAGAGAGAAAAGAATCAATGGGCGAGAAATTTCTCATTGTGCTTGTTATTAAATTACTTGTTCTTCATGCTTTATTCCTAAGTGATCTCTAAGCCCTAAGAAAGTAATTGATTGCTAAAAGAGTAAAAGGGATAGATTGACTTTAATCGGTAATCTAATCTAATTAAGGTAATTTAGGTTAAGTCCGACAGGCTATTCAAGGTTCTCATAATCTTTATATATCAATGATCCATGTTATTGTTGTCAAGAGGGATATTAATTCTATGTTGGAGGTTTCTATTTAATTGATTTTCTCATAATATTCGCTGCTTTTGATTAATTGTTTTCTTTAATTTTCTTGATTGATTTCTTAGTTAATTTACTTTTAGTTAGATTTAATTTTAATTTTTCTTTAAATTCTCTTTATTAATTTGTTTTGTTTGAGAAAAGGAAGAGTCGTTCTCTCTGTGGGATCGACCCCTACTTGCCCTAGCTAGTTTAGTTAGTAATTGTTGGGATATTTATTTTTATGATTGCTGACGACCGATCATGACTATTAAAAATAAGTACCCATTGCCGAGAATTGATGATTTATTTGACCAACTTCGGGGAGCCGGTGTGTTTTCAAAGATTGACTTGAGGTCGAGTTATCATCAGTTAAAGATACGGCCGGGAGATATTGAAAAGACTGCTTTCCGAACTAGATACGGTCACTATGAATTTTTAGTGATGTTTTTCGCTTTGACTAATGCTCCAGCGGCTTTCATGGACTTGATGAACCGAATTTTTCATCAATATCTGGACAAGTTTGTGATTGTGTTCATCGATGATATATTGGTGTACTCTGCAAATGAACATGAACACGCCCAGCACCTTCACATAGTTCTCCAGACTTTGCGGGAACATCGGTTGTATGCGAAGTTGTCCAAGTGTGAGTTTTGGCTTACTCAAGTTGCTTTTCTGGGGCATATTATTTCCAAGGATGGAATATGTGTGGATCCAGCTAAAATTGAAGCTATTTTGAATTGGGAGAGTCCGAGAACTGTTACGGAAATTAGAAGTTTCCTTGGTTTAGCAGGGTATTACAGGCGGTTCGTGGAAGGTTTCTCTCTGATTGCTGCACCGCTTACACGGTTGACTCGGAAAGGAGTACCCTTTGAGTGGGATGACAAGTGTGAGAAGAGCTTCCAAGAACTTAAGCAACGTTTGGTGTCTGCACCGATCTTGACACTTCCCACTAGCGGCAGGGGTTATGTTGTGTATAGCAATGCTTCTCAGGAAGACTTGGGGTGTGTACTCATGCAAGATGATAAGGTGATTGCTTATGCTTATCGACAGTTGAAGAAACATGAGGAAAACTACCCCACTCATGATTTGGAGTTGGCCGTAGTGGTTTTTGCTTTAAAAATTTGGAGACACTATTTGTATGGAGCGCAACGCCAAGTTTTTACTGATCATAAAAGTCTTAAGTACTTGATGACTCAGAAGGAGTTGAACTTAAGACAGAGGAGATGGTTGGAACTGATTAAGGATTATGATCTTGTCATTGACTATCATCCGGGTAAGACCAATGTTGTAACAGATGCTTTGAGTCGGAAGTCATCCACCACCATGGCTAGAATCAAGTCTTACCTTCCTCAACTAGTTGGGGTTTGCTCTATGGGAGCAAACCTTATTGGTGGGTATCAGGGGACCCTCCTAGCTAGATTTGAGGTTCGACCAACTTTGGTGGATCAAATTAAAGAATTGCAAGAAGTTGATGAAAAGCTAAGTGCGGAGTTGGAGAAGTTGTATTTGGGGGTACCTAGTGAGTATTCCCTCCGTGATGACGGGGTTTTACAGAAGTTTGGAAGAGTTTGTGCACCGGACAACGAAGAGTTAAAGCGGGCAGTCTTAGAGGAGGCTCATTCCTCGGCTTATGCTTTGCATCCAGGAATCACTAAAATGTACAGGACAATCCGTGAAAGCTATTGGTGGCCGGGTATGAAGAAGGACATTGCGGAGTTTGTATCCCGGTGTTTGGTGTGTCAACAAGTGAAGGCCGAACATCAGAAGCCCGCTGGGACCCTACAACCATTACCGATACCGGAATGGAAGTGGGAACATATTACTATGGATTTCATTGTTGGGTTGCCGAGAATTCGTCGTGGTCATGATGCCATTTGGGTGATTGTGGATCGGCTTACTAAGTCTGCACATTTTCTCCTTGTGCGGATTACATTTAGCACCGAGAGGTTAGCTAGACTTTACGTGGCGGAGATTGTGCGACTGCATGGTGTGCCTGTTTCTATAGTGTTGGATCGAGATCCCAGATTTACATCTCGATTTTGGCCTAAGTTACAACACGCCTTGGGGACAAGGCTAAAATTTAGCACTGCTTTCCATCCCCAAACTGATGGTCAGTTTGAAAGGATTATTCAGACATTGGAAGACATGCTTCGGGCTTGTGTACTAGAATTCCATGGTAGTTGGGCTGACCATGTGGCTTTAGCGGAGTTTGCGTACAACAATAGCTATCAAGCTAGTATAGGCATGGCTCCATACGAAGCGCTTTATGGGCGGAAATGTAGAACTCCAGTATGTTGGGATGAAGTGGGTGAACGGAAGTTGCTTAATATTGAGTTGATTGATGATATGGTGGAGAAGGTGAAAATGATTCGAAATCGCCTTAAGATAGCGCAAGATCGGCAAAAGAGTTATGCCGATCACAGGCGTAGAGACCTAGAGTTCGAAGTTGGTGATGCAGTTTTCTTGAAAGTCTCCCCATGGAAAGGTGTGATTCGGTTTTGCAAGGGTGGAAAGCTCGCTCCTCGTTACATTGGACCATTCGAGATTGTAGAGCGGATTGGTCCAGTGGCTTATAGACTAAACTTGCCCTCGGAGCTTGGGCGTATTCACGATGTATTCCATGTGTCTATGTTGAGGAAGTACGTTCTGGATCCATCTCATGTTTTACAAGCGTTGCCGGTTGAACTGGATGAAAAGTTGAATTCTGAAGTGCAACCCGTTGGAATTTTGGACCGACAAATGACAAACCTTCGAAATAAGCAAGTTCCTATTGTGAAAGTTCTTTGGAGGAGTCAAACAGTTGAAGAGATGACTTGGGAGCCTGAGGAAGCGATGCGCAAGCAATATCCACACCTTTTTGGTTATTAAAGTACGTTCGTTTATAATTTCGCGGACGAAATTCTTTTAAGGTGGGGAGAATTGTAATACCATAATTTAATTTGAGTGGAAGAATTTGGAGGAAAGAATTAATTTGTATACCAAATTGATAAGAATGGAGAATTGAAGGTTTTATTTGAGAGAATTAGTAAGCTTTGGGGGTAAGTTGGTCTTTTTACCCGTTGCTATTTAAATGCCAAATTCCCAATTTTTGGCTCAAAAATTTTCTCTATTCATCTCATCTTCATCCCCAACCGAACCCTCTCTCTCTCTCCCACACCTCTTCAATTTTTTTGACCAAATCTTACATGCATTGATGAATTTGTAGTCATCTCATCTTCCTAAACCTATTAGTACCCTTAAGTAAGTAGATTGGTGGATGAACATGGGTGTTTTGGCTTGAAGAAGGAGGTATTGGTTGGTAAGACTAAATCTTTAGTTTCTCTTGATTTATTGTTGTTGTTGAGGCTTTGAATGTTGTTGTTGATATATATTTATTTGGTATGTTTGAAGATTTGCTTGGAGTAAAGAGGAAAGTGGATGAACATCAACTTTGGGTAAGTGATTTGGGTGTTTGATTTGAATTGTTATGGATTTTGAAGTTGATATTGAGTTTAGAATGAATTGGGTATGTTGAAGTAAAATTTTTGGATGAAAAATGGACTAAAATTGGCATTTTATGGGCTGTAATTTAAAAAAAAAAGGAAGAACATCGCCGGAATCTGGAATTTTTCCAGATTCCGGCATGGTTGCCGACCGACCGGCCATGCCTGCCAAGGCAGGCTTGGGCCTGCCGCGTGGCCCAGCTAGTTTGGGCCATTCACATGGCCCAACCAGCTAGGCTGGACCAGGCCGGTTCAACCCGGTTTGACTGACCCGGCCCAGTTTGACCCGGTCTGGTCCAATAAAAATTTAGAAATTAATTAAATTCCGATTTTTACCCCTAAGCTTGTTTCGGACCCCAGAATGACTAAATTGCCCCCAGAAAATCAGAAATTGGTTATAGAAGCGTATTTACGGGACAATACGAGTGAAATTACTAATTTACCCTTAGTGGAAAAATTACCATTTTACCCCTGGAAGCTTTCATTGTTAATTTAAGCATACAAATTGCACCGTTAGAGTGAAAGAGATGTCGTAGTGACTTCGTAATAGAAATCATCGGTTATCGTGAACGGTTATAATTACGATTTTACCCCTAAGCGCTAGAAAATTTCGGTTTAGCCACGGAAAGAGACTTTAAACTCTTAGAACCGTTCCGAAAGTGAATAAAGCCTTAGTTGGGCACGTGTATGAGTCTAATGGATCTTTTTATAATTTATTTGTATTTTTCTTTGTTCATATTGAGTTTAAATACTAATGACTTTGATTTTTGGTTCCCTTCACTAGGCGATAGAGACGCCGGTCGGGACGCTTGATTTAGCTCACAGAGGACGGACCTTGGGGGTATACGAGACCCCGAACTGTGAGTGGGCTGTCCTCAACGAAGAACCCGTTGAGGAATTGTTTTTATTACTGTTTTAATAATATGTTTTGTAAAAGGTTTTTATTAAATGATTTTGGGTGCATGAGCGATCCAAAATGGTTTTGAGCCGATAGTAAGCATACAGGGACTCGTGGACTGGACGCAGTTCAGGGAGTACGTATGGCTTGATTTGGTGGTATACTAGCTATTACTTGGATATGTTAGGCGGACCATCGTTATTATTATGAATCCACATGGTCCGTCGGCTCCGGGCCCGACACGCAAGCTAGCCGTTGGCGTGTGCATGGGAGAGTCAAACTGGGTATATTGCGGCCACCACGCAATGCCGGACCCATGCCAACGTCAGGGGGACGGGCATGGTTTGTATTTATACTATGATATGACGAAAATGCCCCTGACGGTTCCGGAGGTTGACTCGGGCCAAGGTCACTTCGGATATTGTTTGATGGCAGCCCCTGGTTTTAGATCGAGAACTGGATTTAGATACATGGTTTTGTTATCATCGATTGTTTTTATTAAAATGGTTTTATAAGTTGATTTGGTTGTGAGTGCACCCCACCCTCTTCTGGTTCTTTTTTGAGGGTGGCTCACTCACTGGGTACATATTTTTGTACTCACCCCGATTTTCTTGTCGCTATTTCAGGATCTTAGCGTTGAGCTTTCCTTTCGTGTTGAGTCGGTGGCTTAGGGAGTCTGCTTCTCCGTTGAGGTATCTCTCACTACGCATGGGTTCCACTAGCAGTCGTCATCTACTTTATGTCTTTTTTTTCCTATGGATTTTTGCCTGGATGGCACGTTTTTATGTATTGCTTCCGCTATTCTGATACATCTATTATTGAGATGTTTTGCTATTTCGTTGGATTTGAGCCTGAGGCTCTTTTATTGATGTTTGTTTAGACTTGAGCTCGAGGCTTAGGGGTTGATGATTGCTCGGATTTGAGCCTGAGGCTCTTTTCATTGTTCCTGGTTTTGTTTTGTTTTTGTGTCTTGATATTGACGCTTCGCGGAACCTCGTGTGCGTGTGACGCGCAGCACGTATTACGAGGTAACGCGGCGGTTGTCCGTGCTCGACATCGAGTCGGGGCGTGACATGATTAATGAGTTTCGTGGAGAGTTGAAGAGGGAATTTTTATATTTGGTCTCCATAAACAAATATGTTTTCCCTGTATTATTTATCAAATGACTCTCATTTTTTATGCTTTATGCTATTTAATCCTTTAAAAATTCTGGGTTGGACGCTTTAATGCTTTGATTTTAGTTCTTTTATTTTTTTTGTTCTATTGGTCCGATCAAGGGAATTTAAGTGTCTATTGAAAGATAATTTGATGACTTGCAACTTTCATCTTGAGGTTTCAGTTCTCAAAAATGTTTCCGAAATTTTGTGGTCTCCCTTGACGGTCTTATTTAATATTATATAATTTTTGATCTACGTGTCCAATTGAAGTTGTTCAACTGTTGGTGATCGGTCGTTGAACAAATCACAAAATAATCCCCACAAACCAATAACTGCTAGCTAGGGCAAGTAGGGGTCGAATCCACAGAAAAAGTAGGAGCAAATCAAAGAACAAACTATACTAAAGAAAGTCTTACCAAAGGGGAATTTTTATGGATTTTCAAAATAACTAAATCAAACTTAGAAAACAATTATATAAATCTAAACTAATGACTAAGAAAACAATTTAAGAGAAACAATTAATTAAAAGCATACTTCTTCTCATTTAGGTAATTATTTTGATCAAGTGAATCATGGATCATATACACAAAGCATAAATTTGACTTAAATTGCAATCAATTAATAATCATAAATTACTCCAAATCGGTATATAGCCTAAGACGTAGACATCAACTTTCATTGAAACAAAGTAATCCTCTTAATATCTTAAACAACTCCATTTTTCCCTTTCACTTGGTTGCATACAAGAATGGAATATTTGAACAAGTTCACGCTCTTCAATCTCATGATCTTGTGTGCAACGATATACGTAGTAGAATCTATTCCAAAATTGGTGTACTTCTTCATCTGGCAATTGTTCGCAAAGCAGAATATCATCTTGAAGAGACTAGTCGATACTTTCTGCCGTGGCATTAAGTAGTCGTCTTGCATCTTCAGGGCTCTTGAATTCCACAATATCCAAAATACCTCCACTTACGTAATCAAGACACTCTCGAGCTTTGTGAGATAACCCATAGTAGAAAATCTGAATTAAGTGCAATTCAGACAAACCATGGTCAGGGTTGCTCTCGCATAGCTTGTTATACCGTTCCCAATATGTAGTCCAATGTTCATCAGGAAATTGTTGACAAGATATGACCTCCTTTAGAGAACATAGTGATTTTTGATCCATTGTCTCGAAATTCTAATTACTAGAAATCAAAGACTAGAAAGAAAATTTAGCACTAAAACGAAAAATAAAAAGAAAATAACGAAAAAGAAAAAGATAAAGGTAAGAAATCCTTAGGTAGTAATTTGTCTTCAATCTTTTTGTTGCTTCCTTCCTTCCCCGGCAACGGCGCCAAAATTGTGATCGGTCGTTGAACAAATCACAAAATGATCCCCACAAACCAATAACTACTAGCTATGGCAAGTAGGGGTTGAATCCACAGAGAAGGTAAGAGCAAATCAAAGAACAAACTATACTAAAGAAAGTCTTACCAAAGGGGAATTTTTATGGATTTTCAAAATAACTAAATCAAACTTAGAAAACAATTATATAAATCTAAACTAATGACTAAGAAAACAATTTAAGAGAAACAATTAATTAAAAGCATACTTCTTCTCCTTTAGGTAATTATTTTGATCAAGTGAATCATGGATCATAGACACAAAGCATAAATTTGACTTAAATTGCAATCAATTAATAATCATAAATTACCCCAAATCGGTATATAGCCTAAGACGTAGACATCAACTTTCATTGAAACAAAGTAATCCTCTTAATATCTTAAACAACTCCATTTGAATAATTGGTATAGGAACAGACGTGATGCTAATTCCAACATGCTAAAAAGATTAATCCGTATCTCACTGCAATTAACCTCAAATGTTATGATCTAGGTTTCACCCCTTCCTATAACAAGCATTAGGTTTTATTATTCCACATGCATGATAAATCAATACCAAACTTGCCTACGTCAATTTCCATCTCGGCCTAAAGATTTCAACAAGGTTTGATATCCCATTGAACCTAGGACTCCTAGCATTCAATTGTTACTTGGACCAACTTTAGCTTGACTCAAGCTACTTGAATCTAACTATAGCATTCATATTATCAAGACAAGTCGCGCGCCAAATCAATCAAAATATGAACACATAAGATAAAGCACAGAGATAAGAAACATATTCAAACAGAAAAATCAAATTATTAAGAACAAAAGTCTCACCATAGATTTATTGATAAAAAATACCTAAGGAAAAGAAGTATAAAGGTTTAACCTCTCATGGATTGCATGCAATCCATGAGAGACTTACAATGCTTGGAGGCCGGCTGCCTCCTCCCTCTCCTTG